CCATCGGAATTCATAAGTCGGCATCCTACGAAGGCGCGGAGCTGATTTAAAAAAAAAAAGCGCTACGTTTTCAAAACTGTGCGCAGGCTGTTTCTCAACTTACTCAAATCTGTGATAGTCAAAGCGAACGTATCCTTTCCTTTTCGTCTCTTTTAAAAAGAAAGACGCATCAAAGTACATATCTGCTCTGTGTTTGGGGAATGATTCTTTAATACTACAGCTCACGATCGTCCACTTAATCCGAGCATCATGCATCATGCGTATGCGTAAAAAAGAGAGATAAGGGGACAAAAGAAGAAAAGTTAGGTTTTCCTTCGGGCAGCTTGAGCAATGTGAAGCAGTGACACGGCTACATCGACATAGTTGTTTTGTGATAAAATAATAGGAATCTTAGAACACTGCGACGACGGGACTTGCGCAGAGCGTTGACACCATCTATTACATAGGAATAAGACTTTTTCTACAACGTCATATTTAGCTTGTAAAACGAGCTGTATATAATTTCTTCTATGGATTCGTGTTGAAATTACCAATCGCTAGCGAAATATACTACTTGCGCCGAAGTAGTTTTTTTTCGTAAACTTTGCAATCGTTAGAACAACGATATATCCGCGCAAATAGGAGACCTACATTTCGCTTCCTTAGAATCAACGAAACTAATGAGCTCAATTATAAATGTAAAGCTTAAAGTGTAATTTCGTACAACGAAGCTAGCTTTTACCCTCTCTCCATCGATTTTCGATGAATACAGCGAACTAGCGAAGGCACGCTGAAAGTTCGACATTGTCTAACAATGAAGTAACGTTAGAAACGTCTTGTTTTTGCAATTTTGGTCCGATTATGTTCAATAATTCTTACAATTGAATTGTACTCATCCGAAAATAATTGTGGAATCGTATATCCTCTAATATTAACTTTGGAACCGACGCAAAAAAAAACTGTATCCGCAGTGACCTTCAAAAACGGGTGCTATCCAATACTTTTTCTTTTTATACAATTTTTTTTCTTTCTCAATAAATGTATCGTAGCAAGTACAGCGATTATGTGTCGTCTCCTAATCTCTACTACAACTGTGGTTGCCACTATACATCTATATTGCTCCATGTATTCGATGTGCTATTATAATTTATTTTTAAAATACAAAATAAGACATTTAGGGCGATATTCATAGTCAGTTCTTATATTTAAGGTCGTCTTAAGATTATATTTCAACCAATAATATAACCGTCTAAGCTTACTTAAGACGATCTTAAATATAAGAATGGACTATGAATACTGGCCATAATTTTTTTTTAAATTGCTTTTTAATTTTTTAAATAATTTTTTAGCTACGGCACATTTGACACTACAAATGTTTTAAAGTCTTTACGCTGTTTTGCATTGAGGTGAAGTGGAGATAAAAGCTAGCTTTGCTTCGCTGCATGAAATTGCACCTTTATTGTTAGTCGATTTCTCTTTGTAATAAGTCACGCATTATCGGCCACTTTATATTCAAAGGTACATACTAAATTACTAAAACCTGTTGCGTTGTGTATTTCTTAGTTGCCGCGAGCACTGGTTGTGTTTCCTTTTGAGTCTCCTGGTTCACCTGTAAAAATTCATATCAAATGAGAAGATTGCTTGCATTTCTTAAGAATGCTAAATCGACACTAAATCTCTCTCTCTCTCTCTCTCTCTCTCTATTCGATGTCTTTACGCGATATATCAAAATATAATCGCAATAAAAGCAAGCTATATTTAAGTCTTTAAGTCTTAAGGATCTGGGACTATACATTATTTAGCAAAATTCATCACACTGTATGCTGTCTGCAACTGATCATCATAATCAATTTTATACCCGAAACCCATGTCAAACCTGTCCTTCTGTACAGCCTTTCATTGATTGGATGTGCCTGAATCGCGCCGATCATCTCCATTTCTGTAAATAAGTTTCACGCCTTATAATAAACGTTTTTGATACAAACGTTGTTAATTTAATATAAGAGAGCATTGTTAATTATGTTAATGAAGCGATTGTAAATAACGATATATATATATATATATATATATGTATTGTATTGCATTACCGCTATTAATTTACCTTGACCGTTGCGCTTCCGAGGATATATTACTTCCGTTCGTACTAAAACATAAAAAAGATCACAATGTTTACATTTAATAACAACATGACCATATGTACGGAATTACCTTTTTTTCGCTGGTGCAAAATCATCCCATTCGCTAAGATCGTATTTAGATAAATCACCATCCTCTTCCTCCTCATCCTCCTCTTCCTCTTCTTCCTCGTCATCTTCCTCTTCCTCCTCCTGTGGTTCATGATACCAATTAAGTATCCGCGAAGCTGATTTTAATCGACGCTATTGAAGAGTATGATTTATCAATCTTGATATCACACTTTTCAATTTACGCCGCTTTTAAGGATAAAGATTTTACATTTTCTTCCTGCTCCTCCTCGTCTACCTCATCCCTCTCTTCCTTGTCTCTAGATTTACTACGCGATGGGCTGCTGTACTTGGAATCCTTTGAATCATCGTCGGAATTCTTTTCTAGTTTTCGCTTTTTTTTGCGTCGCCCAAACTCGTCATATTCATCGTCCTCATCTCGCCTCTCCTTGTATTCGACTACACCTCGATCATTATATCCACCTCCATATCCCGTACGTTCCTCTATCTCACCAAATTTTGGGGCGTTGCACATATTACATTGTTGCCGTCGTGCCCAGTTTACGTTACCGCACTTACTACATTGCCAATCGTCCGCGCTGCAATAAAATTTTATACGTTACATACATAAGCAAAAGCTTGAAGAGATGGCATTGTGAATGTATGATATAAAATGTAAAGCAATATTGTATAATCTTGTTATTACATACATGTCTGTTTTTATATATGCTTAATCTCTGGAATTATTGATATTTATTTCAATAACTCAGCATATAATATAATAAATAATTTTTCTTTATATAAATTCTAGTTTTACTTGCAAATGTGTTTACATTCTTACTTTTTACCTCATTGTTTTACAGAATTATCAGTGTATCTCTATCTGTATACTTTATATGCAAATATTTAATTTTTATATATTGTTTATCACTGAGATAAAAATATATAATAACTTTACCGAGCACAACATTACCTAAAAAGGCCTCTACTTTTCTCTGCAGCTGCTTTTCCAATTTCCTGACCCAACTTTTTCTTCTTTGGGCATTCACCTCTATCTGCATAAATCATTAATGTAAATAAAAAATATTTAAAAATCTATCGATGGGAACACTATTTAATTTGTATATTCGTTTATTTAATATGCAATATTCTATATTAAAGTAAATTATTGTCTTGTCGCATAAACAACAAATAAACATAAAACAGTTTCTTGCGATGATATAACATTAACATTTCATGTGCAACTGCATACCTTTTCCACAGCGATTGCAGGAATTACGTCTGGCAAAGTTTATATTGGCACATCTGAAAAAGAAGAGAAGAGAAAATCAGCGGATCATTTCCACTCAATTCCATATATACGTACTGGATCTAGGAAGCTGGAAACACAGTTACAAGCGGGGACGTGGGTACCGAAATCGTCACAGTGAAATTACGTACTGCGAGTCAGGACAGACCCAGTCGCCGTCGTTGACGCCGCGCTGATTCTCGTCGTCGACCTTGCCATCCATCCCGCCCGTCCGGGTGTTCGTCGCCGTGTCTCCGTTAATCCCCGCGCAAACCGATTCCGCGTTTCGCGATTCCGAGCTCCGCTCCACTGCGCTGCGCGAAAATCCTAACACCTAACCTCGACTAGCTCGATTTTGTGCGTGGCGACGAGGGACGTGTCGCGACTTTACAACACTACCGTACCACCCACACCGCAGCCACCGTCGATCCGCTATCACGGCTATCGCATTCCGCGGTGTGCAATACCGCGAGTGGCTCCAATCTACCCTGCGGCGATGCTTAAGGCGCGTGGCATCGACTCGACTACCTAGGATATGGTTTCGTCGGTGTGTGCGCCAGTATCGTGCGAACCGGACGAGCGCGCCGTGATGCCTGGCTACGTGCCGCCTGCCTCTGGCCAGTCCGGCCGTGTCTGCTTGGCTTTGGCCCTAGCTGGATCTGGCGCAGCGTATCGCGGCTACCGCGCACGGAACGCGTAGCAGCGGTGCCGACATCCTATCGCGAGGATCCACGAATCCCCTACGTTCCTCCCATCCCCATCCCCCCCCAGATTTGCGAATCCCCTATTCTCGTCTCCTGGAATTTCGCGCTTCCGCGGAATTTACACACACACACTATATATATATATATATATATATATATATTATTTTTATTTGCAGACAAATGGGGCGCAATCTCATTATACCAGGTGGCACGAGGACCATCGATGCACGCGGAAGATATGTAATGCCCGGTGGCATAGATCCACATACGCATTTTGAATTTGAGTTTATGGGCACCAAATCGATAGACGACTTTTATCAAGGCACGAAAGCAGCTGTTGCTGGTGGTACCACGATGATCATCGATTTTGTGGTATCGCGAAAGGAGGAGAGCCTTGTGGAAGCTTATGAGAGATATAGGCAGTCAGCAGATCAAAAAGTATGTTGCGATTATGCGCTGCACGTTGCTGTTACATCTTGGAGTCCAAAGGTAAATTTATTACAATATTTTATAACTTCATATATCCTTTTTTCTCGTATTACACATTTATAATGAATATATTTTAATCCAACCAAGCTTGTTGAAATATACAAAATATTTGCTTTTAATTTAATTAATTTTTTTAATTATCGACTTATTGTTTTCCAATTCGAAATTTCTAATTTCAAAATAAGTCTTTAGTTATCTTCTATCTGATCAATGTATCAAAATATCCTATTTTTACAATACTCCTACTTGCATGTGTCAATCAAATGCTCGCGCTAGGTCATTATGCCATACGCATCTCTATTTCGCTTTTTCAGCTACCCGGAACGAGATGATTAACACGAATTATATAGTATTTAACACGGGAAACTTTTCTATAAAAAATGTAGATCTTTTTTTCTCCCTTAATTTCTTTTTCTCTTTCCTTCCATCATATTCAAAGTTAATTTAATAGTTAATATAAGATGTTAATAGTTAACATTAACTAAGTTTCAATTGGCGTAACGATAATTTACATAATTCCGAAGTAATATAAATTACACTGCTCAGAATACATAAAATTGATCCAATTTTCAATTTCAAATTGATCCAATTGAATCAATTTTAACTTTCTTTTGCAGCTTCCGATGATTACGTTAGTCGTAATTTACAAATTTTAAACAAACTCAGGATGTATGTCAACAGTTCCTGATATTAATATTTAATTACATCAGTAGGCTTGATTAATCAAGCTTTAATTATTCATTTTCTATCGAGATTATTTTCTCGATTTTTATATGGAGACAGATATGGAGACAGATACAAAATTTATGCTGAATAGTTAAACTCAATCCAATTCTCAACTTTGTCTTAGCGTGATTCATCAAATCCAAAAATTCCTAGTTTTGATTATCAATGTTTAATTGATCGCTACAAGAGAAAGGGATTCTATAAACATAGGAAAATTAACAAACTCGTTTTGTAAATTGATGACTTTTATGCAGATCTCGTAACTTATAATTACGATTGCCGACACAGCTTACACAGCTGGAATTGGGATCGAGCGACGATGGATGAGGAAATCGCACGTGCTGCCTGAGGCCGCGATGGAAGCGAGCCATTGGTCATCGAAGCCTCCTTATTTGCTACTGTCGTACGATCGAAAGGAAGTCGCGTTCACCATTCATTATTCATCGATATTCACCATTCGTCTGGTCTCTCTGCAGGTCAAAGAGGACATGGCGACATTGGCGAGGAATCATGGCGTCGGTAGCTTCAAGATGTTTATGGCGTATCCCGATATGTTCATGCTCAGAGACCCGGAGCTGATCGAGACTTTCAAGGCGTGCAAAGAAATTGGCGCCGTTGCTATGGTACACGCGGAAAATGGTGATCTTATCGCGGAGGTAGATAAAATTATATAATATCGTCAATATATACACATATATCAATTACTTAAAAATGATATTTCACAATATATCTGATTATTAATCTTCGCTGATATTTTCCGGAGATTATGAAATTTTGTTTTAACATTGTCAGATTTTATATTATTTGTTAGTATATTTTAATAAATTCTTTTTAAAATTAATTGTTCATAAACAAAATTTTAGATGCAAAATACAATATTTCTTTATGAGTTCTCTTTGTTATAAATTTGCTCTAGAATGTGAAGAACTATTAGCTAGCAGGAGTAACCGGT